TGTAATACCTGACAACACAGAACTTCACATTTGCCTCTATCATTGTGGGTTGGCTCAGAGGTCATTACAGTATTCTGTGATTCCCTAATATGAAAGCGGCTCAGTTCTGGTTCACACAGTAGAACGATGACTCTATCTGGTGGTAACAGGCGGTATTACGTGCTTATATTGAAAGAATGGGCGCTTTTTTGCCTTAATTACTAATATTTTTATGAAAATAAAACAACTGAACCTGCAAAAGAACAACATCTGGTTTGAAGATGGGATTTACAGTTACAATTGAACACTTACAACCTCCAGTTTTTCCAAAGATCCTTATAGCCTTCAACTTTCAGACTCTTGACATGAAGCCCTCATTGCCCTGCTTTCTGCCATATCTTCCTTTGTGAGATACCCCCATGCAGTACATTCAAAATGCAGCAGCTCGAGTCCTGACTAGAACCAGGAAGTACGACCACATTAGTCCAGTTCTCAGGTCTCTGCACTGGCTTCCTGTGGCTCAGAGAATAGACTTTAAAACAGCTCTGCTTGTGTACAAGTCTCTCCATGGCCTCGCACCAAAATATATTAGTGACATGTTAGTCCCATATGAACCAGCCCGGACTCTGAGGAGCACAGGGACTGGACTCCTGTTAGTGCCCAGAGTCAGAACTAAACATGGGGAGGCTGCTTTTCAGATTCATGCTGCTAAAATCTGGAACAGTCTTCCTGAAGATGTGAGACAGGCCTCCTCTCTGACAATGTTTAAGACAAGGTTAAAGACAGTTCTGTTTAGCTGTGCATACAACTGAGGGATTTTATATTTTTATCTTTCTTTTTAATGTACTGTGATTATTTATGTTTTTAATGCTTTCTTATTTTGTTCAGCACTTTGAATTGCCTTGTGTATGAATTGTGCTATATAAATAAACTTGCCTTGCCTTGCCACTACCCTCTTTTTGGCACTATGTGGACTCTAAGGATCATATTTCCATTTGGTTAAATACATTGCTTAGAAATATGACTATTCAAGACGAGCCTTAAAATAAATTGTCATGAATTAATTAGAGCTGGGGAACCTAACTTTCAAACCACAACATAATTAATGATGTCAAAAAGTCCATGTAACATATTCCCATCTGCAGTTTGGGTTAATCGCTAGTTTTCACACGGAGGAATTTTATCTTCTCTTACATCTTTAGATCAGCTTTTTCAGAAAAAGTGAAAAAGAGAGGACCTCTCTCATCCAATCAGCGTACAGCCCAAAGAGTAAAATAGTGACTCTCATGGCTCTTTCTTACAAGGACGCAAAAGATAACCTGTTTTATAATAAGATGAAGAACGCATGTTGTGGTCTGATTTGTTCACATTTACTTTCACACTTTCTGTTGGCATGCTTTCTTATGAAAAGTTATGTACCCCAGCTTTAATCTGTTCATTGTCATTATTAAAGGGAGAAGCGTAAAATGAAAGTGTATGACAAAGTTGACAGTTACAAGATGATTCCCATAAACTCCAGCAGTACGTCTGTGGAGTTTTTTGAAAATGGAGGGGAGGAACTTAAATCTACCCATAATAGGCATTTGTATTTTGTCAAGGAATACTATGTGTTCAGATGCTTGGACTTCTGGCAGTTGCAGTTGAATGATAGGTGCTGCCGACGTGCCGTGCTGAAAGGGAGGGAGGAGGGCAAGTGCTAAACAGAGCAATCTGTGTGTGTGTGTGTGTGTGTGTGTGTGTGTGTGTGTGTGTGTGTGTGTGGCTGGGCTGAACAGCTGTTCCCAGGATGAGGACTGCACGTGCTAATGTCTTGTAAAACAACGCAGATATACTCAATTTGCACATAAGACAACTACAGCAAACAACAATTTCTCTATGGTATTTTGGATATACAGTATTTAGACACCACACAGGTTTATCATCCAAGTAGAGCACTGGAAAAATGAATGATGGCAAGGGCTATTGTTACGCAGCTCAGTCCGCTGTCATTGCCTCGTGAGACTTGTAGTTTTATAACCTTCTTTACCTGACCCACATGTATGCAACAGGCAATACAACAATTTGGTATTATTGCTGTCTAAATTACCACTATATTTGGTCATAGTGTTCCCACTGACTAAAGACTAGGTTGCGAGGCGGATTAAATGCCCAGGCGTTCTGACAAGCAAGCCTAACTCAGTGTGTAAGGAAGAGGTGATCCGGGGGGAATGACCCTGATTGTGGTTCTAAACTCAATAGTATGTCTGTGCAGTATCTGTATTTGTAAGTTAGGGCTGGGCGATATGGCAAAAAAAAAAAATCTCCGATTTTTTCACACCAAATCCGATTTTCGATTTTAATCGATTTATTTTTTTCTATTTAAAAACAAACTACAACTGACAAAAGAAATAGATTTTCCTTTATGCAGTTTAATCTAAATCCCCATGGAGCATAAGTGTAACAGGAATTAAGCCTTAAAACATGCTTGTAAACGAGATGGCTCTGCCATTGTAAACAGTGAAAATGTAGCTTAACAGTTTTATAATAACTTCACTTACAATGACACTATGCACCTTCAAAATAACTTAAATCACACAAACAAGGCCCATCGCAAATATATCAATCCTATTAAACACATGCATTATTTACATGAAATATCACATTTTTAAAACTGATTACTCAAAATAGAAATGTTGTAACAGACAGTCTTTTCCAAAAGCCTCCTCGGGTTTTCATGCTTGTTCTTTCAACTGTGCCTGAGTAACTGTGCTGTAGTACAACGCTCGGTCCAGCTGGTGGCGCTAATACTAACTTCAGGGACTCCCACATTGTGCGAGCTTCCTGTTTACATTCTGATGCTGTAGCTAACAGCTACTGTAGCAGCTACTGTAGCTAACAGCTACTGTAGCAGCTACTGTAGCAGCTACTGTAGCAGCTACTGTAGCTAACAGACAGCGGGGAACACGTTGTTTGTATCAGAGCAATGAGAGCAATGTGTGAGACGTGTCTTACCCCAAAGTGCAGCGGCTCAGTGGGACACGAGTGTGTGCGCGCCACGGACACGGGAGTGCGCTTTGGAATAACGAGCGTGAGAGAGCGTGAAAGATGTGGCGTACGAACATGGCTTACGAACATAGCGACCGGAGCCTGCGTGCGTGTGTGTGTGTGTTCTGGCGATTTAAATAAAGTCTGGAAGTGTTATTGCAACAGCACCAACTGTGAGAGCGAGCATCAGGCCAGAGGGAGCCTGTTAGCATTAGGTTAGCTTCAAAATGACTGCTCAACACCATAGACCCGCGGTTAGGGCGTTTGCGCTGTAGTTCTGCGCTGGAGAAAATAAAAATCGAATTTAAAAAAAAAGAAATCGCCCTAAACGTAAAACTCGAATTAATGATTAAAATCGATTAATCGCCCAGCCCTATTGTAAGTGTATGTGGAAAGCCTGTACCTTTGGGAATTAGTTTCTTTGTAGTAAGCAGGAAAGTGGAGGAATGTCAGGAATCCCCACAGAGGATAGAGCTTTGTCCGGTCATTGAGCTCCCACCCTTTTTGTGATGCCATGACCTACTCTTCTCTGCCCGACATGTCACAATATGTCAAAGTATCTTCAAGCTAACCAACACACCTTTCCAACACCATCAAAGCTGTGGCATAGTGGCACCGGGATGAAATATGCTTTTAACAAATACTATGATGAAAAGTGCACTTACTCACTTTGTTCAATTATAACAATTTCTTCATAAAAGGGTAATCATAAACAATTACTTCTATACTATAATAAACAGGTCAGCAGAATTTTTGAATTCAATTACTGCTCTGACCAGTGAATACAGGGCACAAGCACCAGTATGTTTATGAACAGGGTGACAAATAGCAATTAGCGTATAAGGATTACAGAATATGTGCAGCACATACAGTACTATTTTGCAACATCTTAAGGAACTATGACAGAACCACCACCTTTATAAAGTGGCTGTGTCAGTTCTTAGGAAATAACAGCAGTACAGCCCAGTAGTTGAACGGGAGATCACAGGGAACACCAGGTGTCATGGGGTCAGCAGGTGACCTTTAACAAGACCTTTGGCTAGTATGAACCAAGTGTGTGCATGGATGATGATGATGATGAACTAAAGATTGGACACAATCAAGATTCAAGACACATTGTGCTGAAATATTGGCATCTAATTATTTGGCCTGATTAGCACATTTAAAATGAACAGTCAGCGGTGGCCAACTCCTGCTGCTCTAAAGAAAAGACTTGTAAGGTTTATTAAAAACAAAATCTCACAAGGCACCATAAAGTGTAGGCAGCAGCCTCAGAACCGTTCACACTTTAAAACAAGGAGCAAAGAGGCATTTAAACAGACCCAGGTTATAGCCCTCATAAAATAAATGTGACAGTGATCTCCAAGCACTGCTCTCCTGCTCTGGAATATCTTTTCATTCATTGTAATCCATATTACTCCCCGCGGGAAATTGTTTCATTCATTCTTGCCTCTGTTTACATACCGCCATGCGCGGACGCGCGCGAGGCTCAGCGCGCACTCGCAGAGCAAGTACTGTGTATGGAACGCTTATACCCGGACTCTCTGATTATTATCCTGGGGGATTTTAATAAGGGAAACTTGAGCCAGGAATTACCCAAATACAGACAGTTTATCAAATGCCCGACCAGAGAGGAGAACACTCTGGATCACTGTTACACCACCGTGCGCGGAGCTTTTCGCGCTGTTCCCAAGCCAGCCCTCGGCTTCTCAGATCACTCCATGATACATCTGGTTCCTGCTTACAGACAGAGACTAAAGCTCTCGAAACCTGCAGTGAGGAGCTCCAAAGTGTGGTCTGATGAAGCTGTGGAAGAGCTGCGCGCATGCATGGAATCTACAGACTGGGACCTTTTCAGAGCTGCCACAGACAGTCTTATTTTTATTATCTCTTTTTGACTGTTGCACTGAGCCAAAGCAATTTCCAAGTCTGTGACCTCCCGTTACTTACGTTGGCAATAAAAATGATTCTGATTCTGATTCTGATTCTGATTCTAAATGCACACGGGAATAATTGTGTCAACACTGGAACCTGGGAGAGAATATGGGGGGCAAGAGGGGCACCGTGCCGGTGTGTTGTGGGGTCGGCAGTGGAAAGGGTGGGGGGGAAAAGGGAAAGGGGAGGAGGAAGAAAAACAGGTCCTACAGAGCTACCGTGCAGGCGCCAGTAAAGACAGCACGACTGGGAGGAGGTGGGGGCACGGGGACCCTGCTGAAACTCTCAACAGATGCGTGAAGCTCTTGTCAGCATTCCTGCTAGGTAACGCAAGGTCAGGAGCAAGCAGGAAGACAATATGAGGACTATTTGGGCTCCCTCAGCGCCAGATGTGTTTTAATAAGACGGCTGCCCTCCAAGCTAATAAGGTCAGCCTCTGGCTCCAGCCAGACGAGCAAACAAGTAGACTCTTGGCAGGAATTCAGCTCCAGCTTGGCACAGCCTCCCTCCCTGCTTCCTGCCTTACTCTCACTCTCTCGCTTGCTCTCTTGGGTAGTGCATGTGTGTGTGACTCACTCGCTCTCACACACCCGCCTTTTATTAGACACTTCCCTTTTTTCTGTCGGAGCGAGAGTGCAGCCTCAGAGAACATCTGTGCAGAGCACACAGGCTCACAGCACACACACCAGCAGACTGCAGCGGCTTTGTACTGCTCTCCTGCTGCGAGCGCTACTTCACTGACTACTTTCTAACACTGAACATTAAGCAGTAATAAATTAGCCAATACAAAATTAATTCACCCAATACAAAATTGATACACCCAACCTAATGACATTTGAAACATTAAACCTTCCATTTGTAAAAAATGATAAAAGTAAAAAAGAAAGAAAAAGAATAAAAAGGTTTGTTTAAAGATAAACAAATGCTGCATCTGTCAGAGAAATACATGCAGCAGATGGTCAAGATGAGGTTGGATGTAATATGAGATGACCTGGATGCAGAGTGCATGCGGGCAGAGGTCAGCCTTATCATCAGCAGCAGGCCCTGTCCTTCCCACGGCTGCACCAGACCCAAGGCTGATCTACCAGTGCTTGTAAAGCAGGGATTTTGTTCAGATTTAACAGTCTATCAGAAAAAGGACCACAGCAGAGCACAGACCACTGACCACTTCAGCAACACTCCATAAAACTACACTGACAAAGCCAAGTGCAAGTCAGCAACAAAACACTTTGATCTGAACAGACTAAAACCCTCCGCCGAGATACATAAAACTCTTACATATGTTTGTGCAGCAGCTCTTCTCCAAACTCATATCCACACGAGAACAGAGCTGACACCTGTGGAGCTGTGCTTAGTGGGAGCCTGTCCAGAGCCTTACTCAGTCCACAGACCAAGGACACATGTTCTACATTGAAGAAAGTCAAGCAGCGTCTGATCACTCCTCAGCCAGCGTCAGTCTGTCTGCGGCTCTGCTTTGTATAATTCACCACATTTACTGCTGTCCTCCGGCAAACGACAGGTGGACAAAAGCCCACTCTCCAAAAAACCATCTGGTCTGCAACAGTTATATACAGAACATGTTAAAGAGTCCAAGAATTACAATTGTTAAATATTCTTATAATGACTAACGCCAAATGCAACCAATGCGTTGCTTACCATATTCAAATAAACATAAACTGACATCTTTCCCTAAATAATGTAATTAAAGAAAGCGATACGATATTATTAAAATCTTGTGCTGTTATAAATTGACAATCATTTCTGATCCATTTACAAGCCAAGGTGCCCATTGGTGTAATTGTTAGAATTGTATCAGCTTTTTGTAAGTTTCTTAGAATGTAGAAGAGACGGAGGAGAAGCAGTGGGACTTGAGCCTGCCCAAAGTGGATACTTGTCCACTGTTCATAATTTACTCCAATATACCAACATGTGATAGCATGAGATATCAAATTAAAACACTAGGGAATCAACTACATTTAAATGATAATAATAATAAGACTAGATCAAGTAAACAAGACAGAATTTAAAACAGAAAGCAAGTATGTGAGTACATTTTAGCTGCCTTTGTTCACATTTGATGTGCAGTGTTGCTCATATGGTTGTGTTCAGGGGACCCCAACCCAAAGGGACATCACTGCAGGCTGTGGTCCCCCAACCCCCCCGTGATGTGAGCTCATGTCTGTATTGGGGAGGCTGCCAACAAGGCCAAGATGCATGCAAGGAAGTGTGTGTGTGTGTGCGCACAAGCGTGAGTGAGCATGTGTGTTTGTCCATATGTACGTGAGCGTGTGTGTCTGTGTGTGAAGCAGATGGGAGGAAAGGGAGAAATTAGAGAGGGGTAAAAGGAGAGTAGCGACAGAAAGTCTGCGAGAGAATGTGTGCGTGCATGTCCATGTGTTTTTATGTGTACTGGCCTGATGGGGGCTGTGAGGAGTTAAGGGGAAGGGTTGGGGGGAGCACTGTGGTTAGGCATCTAGAGTCAGTGAACATTTTTCTGGCAAGCCCTCTCTGTGCTCCTGGCTGCTTGCCCGGCTCTGAAGCAAACTTAAACAAACTCCTGTTGCAGCCATCTGCTGGGCCCACGGGATAAATCACAGCGCTGCTCGCTCTGTACTGGTCCGCCGCACTGCTATCAGGTTACCGTGTTAGTCTCCTCATATGCGCACATTCACGCTCGCTCTTTGGCATGCAGACACACACTACAAGCGCTTTTGCCTCCAACTGTGCGCACACACACACACACCTACAGCTACGCGTCAGCCTGGAGCCAGGTCCTGCTACGGAGAGACCAGCAACATGTTCCCCCATATTACCACAGGGGAAGATGAAAAACACAAAGACCAACGCAAAGGGCCTTAGTGAAGAATTCAATGACCCTGCAGAAAGAGGTGACAACAAATGATACCTGATCACCTTAAGCGTTAATTCAATACCCCCTGCAGCTATACAGAGTTTACATATTGTATTTCAGAGTTCAATCCTAATGATAGAGGCGTTTTGCTCCAGTTTCATTGCTAGTGAAATGTACAGACTTTAAACTACAGCTGAAGCACAAAGGATACTAGAATTCTTCACACCATGGAACATTCAGCGTCAAAACCACCAGCTTATGGTATATTGTTACTCTGGAAATCCAAAAAGACAATATTAAAGACTATTATTAACAAGAAAGTAATATTTATCTTTTTCCTAAACCAGATTAAACCTAAGAGCTGTTTTTTACACAGACACAATCATAAAGAGAAGAATGAAGTGAAATCCAAAAATGATAAATGGAAAAATGGAGTTTTCCTCAAATTGAGAATGAGAAAATGAAGACTATCAATGCTGCACGGCCTTGGAAAAGTGTGAGTGGTAACTATTTGCCACACAGACTAAGAAAATGTAAAAGCGCCGCTGAGTCATAGTTTGGTCATCTCTTTAAGGGGGTAGTTTCTAATGGAAGCAGTACACGAAATAACACTGGGGTTTCCGTTGACAATGCCTGAATCTTTTTTCTACTGAGCTCAAAAATGCTTGGACAATAAGTGGCCTTACTACTGCTCTTACTTTGCCATGCTCTGAAGTCTGAAATGAATTGCTATGATGTAAGACAAGCTAGAGCACATCTGCTGAGGTTAAGGCACTCGGGTTAAAAGGTCAAATGTTAATCAATAGCATAACATATACATGGAAACAGCTTTCAAATGTAAGAAACTGCAGCCGGGCACAAGAGGGCTACATGTGTGGTCACACACGCCAGCCGCTATAGTAAATGTAACAACACATAATGCTATATGTGTCCAGGCTACTGTACAGCTGCATTCCTCTGATGGTATCAACTGTGTCAAACTCAGAGGCGTGGGGGGCTCAATGTTACCAGCTGTCCAAGTGCTGGCAGAACAAGCTGAGAATGTGAGGGGCCAGGTGGATTCACAGCATTGGAGAAAAGGAGAGGGATGTCATGGCCAAGGCATGCTTAAGGGGTTAAGTTGAAATCCAAGGAGAGAATTCTTCTTCAGCCAAACTAAGCTCTTAGGAAATGAGCAATGTTAATCACTATCTTTTCGCTTGTTGACAGAAAGACAAGTGAAAAACTATTGCTGGTTCATCTAAGCTGCATACATGGAGATTGTCTGAGTAACAATTTGACCTAATGGTCTTAAATGCCAAAACTATAAGTAACTGATCAAACAGTGTAATATTCTGAAGGCCCTTTAGAAGCCACGCGCCTAAAAAGAAAGAATAACAAATATAACTTGACGCAAGTGAATAATATCCAGTTAGAAAAAGCATAAGTTCCATGTTAAAAGTCTGGCAAGGAAGCAGGCCTGCTCTTAGCTACTGAGCTGCCACATGCTCCAGCTGTGTCCAGGTGCAGAGACACTCGCAGCTGTGGCACGATGCAGCTGCACTGGACTGAGAGTTGCACCTGGGCCTGTCCCACACACACGCAGACACACTCACACACACACGCACACATTCAGTGCACGTGTTAGGAAAAATAACAGAGGCTCAAAGGCTGTTATGTCAGGGAGTTTTCATCTTTACAAATATAGCAGGACTGTTTCCAAGGCTCATGGGCCTTTTATAGCATCTGACTTGGGCTATCTATTTATCTGTCAAAATCCATCCTATATTTCAAATGTGGAGGCTTTCTACAAATGGAATGGCATTGTGAGGATACAGTTTGGTTTCTTTAAAAAAGCAGTCTTGCCTAAACTCCATCCATCCATCCTAACCCTAACCCAAATGTTTGTTTGTATATAAAGACTAATATAGAATATTCCTTCCCACAATATTTGTCCAGTCAAAGCAGTATTTATGCATATACTATAAGAAGAACATGGAAATGATGTAATCCAACTGGCTAAGATGGTCAGAAGTATCATATCAATACTAAATGAATAAAAGTACTGATACCAAATCATCTATATAATTAGAATAAAAATTGAGTTTGTAATATTATTTTGTGACAACACTAGGGCCAGTGCATGTGCTAGAAATAATGTGATGAATATATAATAATCGGCCCTCAAATACATCTTCAAAGTCATATGAGACAGGCCTCGTGAGACAGGCCTCCTCTCTGACAATGTTTAAAACCAGGTTAAAGACAGTTCTGTTTAGCTGTGCATACAACTGAGGGATTTTATATTTTTATCTTTCTTTTTAATGTTCTGTGATTATTTATGATTTTAATGCTTTCTTGTTTTGTTCAGCACTTTCAATTGCCTTGTGTATGAATTGTGCTATACAAATAAACTTGCCTTGCCTTGTATATTTTGAAGATGTGGTGACATCACAATTGGAATTGATAGTGTCATGATTGCAAAAACAGATATTAAATACAAAGATAGAGATAGAGACAAAGTAGAAGCTATAACTGCTACACTAACAACTTATGTGGGACACGGTGTCTCAGACCAAAACATTTTAATGTAGCTCACTACACTACTTTAGTCCCATAAGGGGGATAGGACTAAATCCAGTGAAGTAAATGATTATTTGGGTTACGAAGTGAAAAAAGGTATTTAAGAGTAAAAAACAGATACATGGCTGGTCACTCCCTCAGAGATAGGGTGAGGAGCTCAGTGTACAGCCACTGCTCCTCCGTCTGACCAAGCTTTGAGAGCAGTCAACTAAGGAAGCTCAGGAGGTATGAGGATAGGGCATATGTGCTCAGACTGATGATTACAATGGAAGATAATGGAATGGAAATACTGATTATTTGTCTTTTGATTTTATTACTTTCTTTTCTTTTCCACTGTCCAACAAAAACAGATAAAGTACTATGTAGGTGTACATGTTTTAAATATATAAAATGAAACAAACATACAAACATTGATGAATGCATTATGAAGGCTTCCTGGTTTGTTAGCACTTCAAACTCTCCTCTCCAACAACGACAGATAGCCTTGAATAACAAAAATCTCTCTTCTTACCGTTAAAAAGAAAAAAAATGAATAGCACCATGTGTTCCCTTTTATCTGTTCAATCTAGGATTTATTAGTTAAGTCAGATTTGGGCAAGAATGCAAGAGCGTGTCTCGTTAGGATAAGGGTTATATGAAGCTTACATTCCAAAAAAAGGATGAAATTTGATATTAAGCACTAAAGAGAATTTTAAATCTCTCAATGGAACACGATCCGCTTGAAATATCTAAAAAAGAGGATATCAGCATGTTTTTAATGAGAGCAATAAAGGAACATTTTACAAGGAAATATCAAAAGGGAACAGTATGCAATTCAAAGATTGTAAGGACTCATTTGAGCAACAGCTCCAAGTGCAAACCGTTCCAGCGTGTTGACAGTTCTGAGCGTAGCATGACACTGAAGGACACCTGTTGCTCACAGCCTGCTAACTTAGTGCTCTCTCCTCTGCTTCAACAATCCCCCTGGCACTTTATCAACCATGAGGTCACAGGCTCGCTCAGACCGACACTGACCGTCACCTCAGGCCAAAAAGGACCCACAGATCTGTTAGTCCCACACTCTCCCTTTGGACCTTTTCTCCATGCTTCTTTTGCTGCTATCAGTTGAAGATACATGTATTACTGCTGTAATTGACCTACGTGTACTACAATAAACCCTTGTGTATAATAAAAAAGGATTATATTGATAAAAAAAAATCAAGATGAGAATGTGCTATCACTTTACAGTCTTGAGTTTCCACCCAGCACCAAACATCCTGATCAAGTGAATGCAGAGAAGGCAATGGAAACACTCAAAACTTTGGAGCCTCAGAGTAGGAAAAACAATAATATGAATTATGATAGGACCACCAGCGTGAGCACAAAAACTTCATTCAGGTAATAAATACACGGCTTGTATGAAGCCTTTTGGCAGAAATTATTGTTTCAATAGGCTTGCAATCCAATACAATATCTAGTGGTGTACAGTATAGTGGCTTCCTTGGCTTTAACACAGTTCATTATCATTCTAACAATATACAGGTCACATAAATGCACATCATTACATATTTCTACTTTCTAATTGTGCTTTCTTCTTACCTTGTGCCTTGGCTGAGGGTTTGCTGGCTGCACTTGTATCTCGTTCTTATCTGCACCAGTAGCTCCATGTCTCTCCTCCTGCTGGGTACTCTGTCCCACCTGCACCATCGCCTTACACTCCACACACGCCCCGATGACCAGCTTGCTCCCATCATCAACCAGCAGCATGTGTGCACTCTGAGGTGCGTACAGAAACACTGGCAGTCTCGCCATCACCACCATACACAGCCTGCCCTGTCTGCGCTGCTCCTGCCTGCAAAAGAAGCACACAAAGGCCTCACAGCTGTACTGGCGTGCCCAAGGGGAGCTGGGCAACTGAGGGGTGGTGCCACTGCACATGTTGGACACAGAATGAGAGCCTTTGCTCTCATATTTGTCCCACTGTCCGTGCAGGTCATGATAGCAGAGGGTACAGGCAGACACCAGGCCAGTGGAGTCTATGGGTTTGGCGCGAGGAGCGGGAGGGTGCACTGTGAGGAACGGGAAGAATGGCTCTCTTTCCCCGCAGCGTCCGGGCGGGTTGACATGAAGCTGATGCTCTTTTCCTGCTGATAAGTCAGCACCACAAATGTAACATATTGAGAAGGAGCTGCTGACTTGAGAAGCAGAGCTACTGGAGTGAGGTTGAGATGATGCAGGCCTCTCCAGTACCACAGTTGAATGATATCTAGTTAAAAATGCCGTGACAGATGTGATAAGATCTTCATTCATAGTTAGTCTGTACGCATTCCAGATTTCTTGTAAGATGCGGTGGCAAACAGGGCAACAGTGCACACGACCATTTTTCACACTTTGAGCATTAGGTGGACAAGGGAACAGGTTGATGAATGGAAAATACATGGCACATCGGGATTTACCGACTCCAGGTTGTGTGTATACCAAGCTCAAGTCCAGAGCACATCCCTGACCACAAAGGTAACACACCTCATGCTCAGCTGTGTGTTTGATTGGGTTACAGGCCTGAGGAGGGTCACATGTGGCATCAGGGTTAAGGGGAACTACATAAAGTCTCTGCAGCACAGGCACATCAGCCAGCTGGAAGCTTTGCCACTGCTGCATGAGGGAGGAGTGGCAGCGACTGCACACCAGAGTGGTACCTGCTGCACTGATGGGCACAGCTCCCTGTGGTGGAGTGTGCAGCCACAAAAAGGGGAAGAAGGGCTCACTCTGAGCTCTTTCCTGTTTTTGAACACTCACTATAAAGTGGTTGTCATGTCTGAGGTCTTCGCCACACACATAACATGCATACTCATCTGGACCCTGAGCGGACTTTTTTGGTGAGACCATTCTGTCAGCTGGTTTATGATATCTACTTAGAGTTTTGCGTTCAAACATCCCTTCATCATCACTTGTAATGTTAATTTCGTCCTCTTCAGAGCTGCCAGGCGTGTTTTTCCTTTTGGTGCCAGTGGTGACGGCTCCAGTGTAATCTTTGTTTTCTCCCTGCAACAGCTGGGACACATGCCTGGATGAAGGATAGTTCCTCTGAGTGTGACGAGGCTCTGCGTGTTTGACAGGACTCTCCTCCAGCCATCGCCTGTTGCGTACAATGACCCGGTTGTCCGGCACAGGTGCGTCAGGGACCCGAGTGTCAAGATGGCATTGCTCCTGTGGAGGTCTCAGTTGGGACTTACCAGGAGAATGTTGTGATGTATTATTTATACCCTTTGGAGCCTGTCTTCCAGCGAGTGCATTCTCCCCTATTGGAGATGCCCCGTAAACACCAATGGAGCACCTCTGTGACTCGGGGCTCTTTTTAACACTGATTATATTGTTTCTGTTGTTATCGCGAACATATTTTCCAGAGGGTTTATAATACTTGTCCCTTCCAGCCTTTTCCACTAAATCCATCTCTGGGTCAGATTCCGAAAAGGATGAGAAGTCCGACTCTGCACCTCCGTCGTAGTTTTGGCTGCCCACACTGATCCTTCTCTCGGCATCATAAGACATGTTCCACTCCTGCGGTACTCTCCGGGAGTCACATTGGTATGGCCGCTTTAACCAGTACATTCGTTTGTCGATGGGCGTCCTGCTGCGCTCGAAGGAGTTCCATTGCTCCGTGAGGAAGCAGTGACAGACCGCACAGACCTGCGCGCGTCCGTCCGGGCTCAGCTCACGCGCACCCGGCGCTGGTTCTTGGTTTTGAAGAAATGGGAAAAAGGGACTCCTTTCTTTGTGATAAATGACTTGTAACTGCAATTCCTTTCCAGGTGACACTCCACTGCCACAGATAAAACAATGCACCAATCCTCCCAGTCCGTTACGATCAGACCTGGACGGGTGGCCGGTCAGTGGGCTGTCCTCACGGGGCAGAGCAGCAGCCATGAGACGGTGTTTCCGAGATAGGGCTCCCAGATCTTTGTCACGGGGAATGTTCATACTTTATGAACGTGTCTACATGGCAAGCATTCAAACTTTACACCATCCTTAAGCATGCTTTCCCCTTGGTCTGGAAACCAAAAGTTTCAGTCAAAGTTACTCACTGACACAGTGGAGCGCAGGCAGAGAACCGTTATCTTTCAAGGACACGTGATAAGTCTCAGCTCCTCGCTCCGATGGAAGATTGTAATCCGCGTGCTTCCAGGATTTCCGTGCACTTAAAAAAAAAAAAAATCTTCTGCAACAAACTTTCCTTGCTGCACTCTGAAAACTTGTGCTCCACTCGCTCACACTGTACACAGCGCCATCCCTGAATCATCAACCCCCACCCCCCGTGCCCTTCTCTGCAGCCGGGCTGCTTCACGGACGGTCACACTCACACTAGTTTACCTTCAGGCTGTACAATAGCATGAATCTGACAAGTTTGTAGAGAAATGATGTCTTTTGTGAGCATCTTTAAGTGGCAGTCACAGATTACCAAGAGGCCATTCATTGTTGGAAACTAAATGTACAATACCATTGCTTTTTACGGCTTAATACATTTTAGCTTCAAATCAAAGTCTGTTTTTTGTGTGAATACAGCTCTATCTTTATCTGTCAAAAACGAAAGTAGGCCCTACTAAAATAAGTTCAACACGACAGCAGCAAGGCTAACAACATGTAATACGAACATAATGACTACTAATGTAGCCACTGAGACCACAATTCCTACAAATTAACTACATAACCAGTTAGACATATTAGGCGAAATTGGTCATTACAGATGTATAACTCACCTCTGAATCGATCCATGCCTATTTTGAAAGACGGCGGGCTGCACGTTTGTGGGTAATAACAGTGCCCTCTAGCGAAAATAAGGAACAAGTGCAATGTTGGTCTCATGAATTGTTGTAGGTGAGGACAATTGTAAATGTCCTTTATACATGTAATAAGAAACAAATACAGATATTCATTCCACCAACATATTATCCTTAAAATATCAACAATTCATGCTTTAGTGTAGCATATTTCATTTGTAATATTCATCCCATCAGGCCTTTCTTCTTTATATGTTGTATAATTCAGATTCGTCTTGAGTCTCAAAAATTCAAAAGGTTATTAAGTGTCAAAAATGAAACAATATATTGCGTGATTGGCAGATCTTGTCAGATCTCAGAAAGTAGAGCAAGGGTTGTTTTGTGTGCATGTTTGTAGTGTGATGGGAGACCAATAGGAAGTGCTAAACTTCCTATTGGTCTAAAGTGCTAAAGCATTGTGTCCTTAGGCAAAACACTTCTCCAAACATTGCTTCGCATTGCTAATGAGTCTGGTGTGTGCATGTATATATCATGCAAACTTCTCTTTGAATGTATTTATCATATCAAAACTTATTTTTATCATCATAAAAGAGAACATAGAAAATACAACCTTAAGTCTAAACACAAGTTGTCAGTCAAGATGCACATGGAGTTAGTTTGCTCGGAGAAGTATGGTAACTTGAGCACTATCCTCCTTCCTACTTCTTCTGTCATCAATAGGACTTTGGCTGTAGTCTGTTCATTGCTATTCAACTGCTGTCTGTTTCATGGCGTGATGATGGGACTCCTTATACCGGCCTCCTCCATCTGCACCTGCGAGCTGTCCTGACCGGCCCGACTCGTGGGCTGCACCCCCTGCCCGCCAGGGAGCTTCCTCAGTCCTGCATCGTGTCAGTCCTCATTCCAGAGCCTGAGTCTTGCATCGCGAGGCCTTGGTCCTCATTCTATAGCTTGAGTCCTGGATTTATAGCCTGTCTGTCCATTTGGAGCGGATCCCTCACTCAATGTGGACCTCCCAGAGGTTTCTCACTTTTCCAACTGGGTTTTAGAGTTGTTCCTTGCCGATGCAGGAGGGTCTGTTAGTCTTGTCTGGGTCTAACTAAAAGGGCGGTGGTGATGATCCAGGACACTCAACATTCATCAGCATTTATGGACATTGGTCATCTGCCCCTTATGGACCAATACCAATGTGTTTTCTATTTTATTTCTAGTGTTTGAACTGGTTGGTTCTTTGATCTGTGTTGGCAAATTCAATGGTTGTGTAAAATCCTTCGACATAACTATTGTTGTGATTTAGAGCTATACAAGAATAAATTCAATTGAATTGCATATGTCTATAGAAATAATCTATAACATGTAATTTATTGATTATGATTAAGGGTCACTATTGATAGAGAGGTCAGACACCATTGATGTACCCTACTGTACAGGAAGAAGGGTGTTGATGCCAGAGCTGAAAAAAGACACAGGAAGTAAAGCAAAGCCAACTGTTGAACTCCTGTCAACAATGAGAATTGATATAGAACACTGAGTTCAAAATGTTGAAAACATAACCCATACAATCACGGTCATGGCTATGTTGTTTTCATCTAAGCAAGAAGTGTACTTATAAATGTGTGTGCTATCTGTACACAGACACCACACACATAGCTTGACTGGTCAAGGGAGGGAGAAAGTGAAACCTCTTGGGAAGTGCCTGGGCTTTCTCTGTGTTTATTTATTCATTTATTTCAGCAGGATCTCTTCTCTGTTTCCAAGGTCAAAGGTGCGACAGAGGAATGTGTTTCCTTTAAAAAGGAAAAATCAACACATGAAGCAGTTCCAGTGTCGACTAGGACACAGTTCATTCAGATTTTCCCCAAACACTCCAGAAAATGCATAATTAATGTAAAATAAATCTTTGATAAGAGGTCTAATGTCTCAAATGTAAAAATCAAAACACACATTCGAAGATATTAATCATATACTGTACATACAAAGCATTGTAAAAAGTGAGCACATAAGATGAAATCTTGCATGCTCAGTTGTCTCTTTATTTTTAAACCATACATTTGTTTTCCAGTCCGTCACTGCAGTGCAGTATGCACTTTCCCTTAAAGTTCAACATGTCACAGCTGTGGGTGACCTCTCTTGTGGCTCCACAGTCTGACTGGAGCCGTGTGTGTTCTGTGAACCAGGGCTGACCCGTCCATGTTCACCTGTACCTGTCACTCACAAGCTCACGCCCACATCCCCATATCTACAGTATCATGGAAACAATGACAGGGACAGAATATTTAACTGTGAAATAATAAGGATAATGATAATAGTGAAAAGAACAGAGCACATTATGATTCATGCCCTTGGAATTATGAAGTTGAGTTATAAGTTGTGAAAACGTCTACTTGATGGTATAACACACAACCAGGTCTTATCATTATCAGTTCAATGTTCATCTAATGTTCATGCCAATGTAGAGAAACAGGTTGCAAGTTGTATGACATACCAAGGATGGGAAAAGGGAGAACAACAAAATTCTGGGCTGATGCTGTTCAAAGTCTCAGAATAATGGGACAGGAATGCTGTCTAATGACTCCCTTGGGGCCTGCCAAGTTGAAGGCCCTCTAGCTTCGGCAACAACAAACAGGAACAAGAGTGCACACATAGGCCTTTAACCAATCCCCCCCCCAACACTTTTCACTCCTTATGACACCCCCCGACTCTCCCTTCCTGTGCCGACCTACTGGAGTCGGCTGTTGTTTTTGGCAGCATGCCGTGTTGGAAAGTCATACAGCCTCAGTCTCTCAGTGCTCTCTTCTCCACTGTGTGTTAGCGGTGACTGAGCTGCCACGGAAATGCTCCTGACACTACAACTGCAGGGGGCCCTGAAAACACATTTACGTTTACAGAAAGATTTTCTTTTTGATCTTATTTCATTATCCTTTTAAAGAGTATGACAACAGAGAACTGTGAATGAACACAAAATACAAAATGATGTTGTATTTAAAAATGAATGAAAACGTAAAAAGTGAGGCTGGTATTCAGACAGTATGAGTTATTACATTTTTCTCACTTGCTTTGGTGCATTTCTCACATCACTATCAACATTTGCACAACAGTTAGTCAATTTCTCCAATCAATTAGAACTAACTGAAAAACCGTGGATAACCTACAAAAGCGCATAACTTGCTCAAATCTAACAGCTGATTCCTCACAAGAAAGTGTTGATGGCAATGAAACTGTCTGTGTCATCATAATAATAAGGCCTGACTCCATTGTTTATGAACAACAGTCAAATGTTGTGTTTTCATTGTGAAAGTTTATTCTCTCTGTGTTTGCCAATGCAAGTCAGATCTTGGTGACGCTACTTGCAAAAATGCTTTAAAATTCACCCAAAGTTCATCCCTGACCTCTCTGGGAGATACCAAGGACTTCATGATTCTGTTTTGTGATGAATAAACTCTAAAAATAAGTCTGAGGCCCAAACAGAATAGTTGTAACAGAGTAAAGAAGATAAACAATTAAAAGAGGTTTCTGTTTCAGTATCATTAGGAAATGTTCAAAGGAAATGAAATGCACTAAAAAATATATTCATTCTAATTTAATTATTGTTTTCTATGTTTGACTGGCATCAGTTTTTCACCACAGAGAAGACAGGAATGTGTGAAAATATCAGTCTATTCAAGTCATAGGACCCCCGGAAATATAAATCTAGCTTATTATCTGGCATTAGAAACATTTTAAGACATATTTTTTACAAGCTCCTAAATGCACTGCCACCTTATTATGCCGCTTTTCCACAGAAACGGTACGGTACGGCACGGTACAGTACAGCACGGTACAGTACGGCACGGTACAGTAGGACACAGCACTCCAGAGAAATGGAATCGCACAGAAAGCCCCAAAGGTCAACGTACTGGTCGGTTAGGGTTGCCAACCCTCCCATAAAATACGGAATTGTCCCGTATTTTAAGGGAGCCTTAAAATACGTGAACCTTAGTTGAATCCGTAACCTTAAATGCATCACTCACTCACTGCACGACACACACGCACACACACACACACAGTAATCACAGTTTAAGCGTCTACCTTTCGGCCAAAAGGTAGGTGTCAAAGGGGGCGCAGGCTCGATCACATCGCTTGATGTTGACAAGTGGCAGCGTGGGCCAC